GGACCGGGGAATTGGAAGTTCTGGAGGAGGTGGAGGGCGTGGGTGGTTTGTCACGGACATAGGTAGGGAGTTCCTGGACCAAGGGGGAGAAAATGGAGTCTCGATAGTTGGAGATCAGTTCGGTGGGGCAGGAGCAGGCAGAGACAATGGGTCGACCAGGGCATTCAGGTTTGTGGATTTTGGGTTGTCACGGACATAGGTAGGGAGTTCCTGGACCAAGTTGTCACGGACATAGGTAGGGAGTTCCTGGACCAAGTTGTCACGGACATAGGTGGGGAGTTCCTGGACATTCCTGACCAATTCGATTTTGATGTTTGTGGGCTCTTGCTGTGCGCAAATTGTCTGCCTTGCTTTCCTATTTTACAAAAGTGACATTTCATCGACTGTAAAGCACTCTTGTATTGTTTTTATTCATTCTTGGATGTTAGCATTTCATGCCGAATGAGAATTTGCCATCCCTTCCTCAGTGCCCTTGAGAACCTGGCAGTGAGCTGACTTCTTCAACCACTGCAGCCCATCTGATGTTGGTACACCCACAGTACTGTTAGGGATGCAGTTCCAGGGTTTTGCCCCAGTGACAGTGAAGGAGCATTGATATATTTTCAAGTCAGGGTGGTGAGTAGCTTGGAGGGAAATGTGGAGGTGGTGGTGTTCCCTTGTAGCTGCTGCCTTTAATGTAGACAGTGTTCAGAAGGGGCCTTTGGAGGAGCCTTGGTAAATTACTCACAGAACATCTTGTAGATAGCGTTCACTGCTGCCACTATGCATCAGTGGGGGAATGAATGTTGAAGTTTATGGTTAGGGTGCCAATCAAGTGGGTTGCTTTGTCTCAGATGGTGTCAAATGCATGAGTGTTGTGAATTTAAGCTTATTCATTAACGACAGAAATGAGGAAGCTTTTCTCAAACAAAGCATTATTTTGATATTTCTCACAGAAAGTCCCCAGAACATCAGCCTGGGCCTTTGGATTATTTGTTGAGTACAGCACCACTATGCTTTTCTATTTGAGTCAGCATGCAGGAAAAACCTCTTCAGTTTGTGAGACTGGGATTCACTAACAAGACTGTGCTTGAGCTGGACACTGCACCAATATTCAAGATTCAGTTCAATAAGTGGCTGAGGGGATTGGAGTTGAAAGGACATCAGTGAAAAATGGATAAATGTGTATAGAACAATTTGCTCTCACAGAGGGTAAACACCAACACAGACTTGTTTAATTGAATGGCGTGGTTCCTCAGTAACTGCTAAGCATTTCAGTGTTGGGTGGTTCCTTGATCACTGTGTCAGAGACGATGATGGCATTAACGCTTTCATCTGTCTCAGCCAGTGAGGGAAATGAAGTTTCATCAGTCCTTTGAGATCTGCAAAATCAGATTATTAGGTTATTAACCAGAATAGTAATTGTTAAAATGTGACCGTATTATTATGAGTAGATATATATTAGTTTTAGTATCTAATTATTATATGTAAAAACATATATTTAACTTATTTGTCTCGGTAGTACGGCTTGTGTGGAGGAGGCGGAAGCTAACGATCTTGGATGCAGCATAGAATGGTGCTAAAGCAGTGAGCTGATGTGAAACTATTTCAACTTGCAATATTACTGCTGAGATCTTAAAGCCTGTCTGTGTTTAAGAATGGAATCAAGATGCGTGTGTGTGTGTCTCTCTCTCTCTTCCCCCCACATGAGGTAAGAAACCACGGGATGTAAAATCCTGGAGATACATCGCTATGTAAATACTTCAGTTAATTCCAGTGCCATAAACAATTCCTGGTTGGTCAAAAAAAACCTGATCAGGTCAAGGTCATCATAACCTTGAGGGGAAAGAGTTAATTGGATTAAAGCAATAATAAAACGATGGCCTTCTAATAGAATTCCTGTGGGTGGGAAATCTTGAAAACAGAATGAGAACAAACAAGAGATAGAACCAGAGAAGAAGAATCCAAAACCTAGAATCTGCAAGTGGAGAAGAAATCACACACTCGCTGTTCAGTGATAATGCAGGAAGTTTATAGCCCATGTTATATTCTAAATCGCTGTATGAGGTTAATGCTGCTGTTACCTGAAAACATAATAAACTTGTCTGTCTTCATCTCATTAAAATAATCTCATGACTGAACATTTGGACAGTCCGTTCCTGTAACAATTAGGTATTGAAAGACTCCTCACTACCAACAGCAACATAATGATAAAAATAGATTCTTATGATTCTGCTCAGTAAGTTAACTCTGATCCACGAAGCACACGGAAGGACACAGGAACTGGTCAGAAGAGAGCACAGCAGAGAAGGAAGACAGGCGCATGGAGTAACCAATCCTGGTGGAGACCTACATTGCAACACGTCAAAGTTCACAAATGTAGACAGCTTTCAAATCTGAATCACCGTGAATCCAGTTAAATACACAAGGTAATAGCAGTTTTAAAATAGTACTGGCTGTGAAACCTGTCTTTTATCTGTGGGCAGGCAACTCAAAAAAATGGCACGAACCACTGGTCAGCACCTGACATGTGTCAATGTTCCCACACATCCATTTCCTTGTGATTCTAGGTGGTGGAGGTCAACAATTTGCGAAATGCTTTCAAAGGAACTGTGGTGGGTTTCTGCAATGTATCTTATAGATAGAACACATTGCTGCTTCTGTTCATTGTTGGGGGATGGAATAGGTGCTTAAGGTAATGTTTGGGAAACAGATGAGGTGGGCTGCTTTGCCTTGGATGGTGCCGAGCTTCTGAAGTAATGTTGGAGCGGCACAAATTCAGGCAAACAGAGAGTTTTCCATCAAATTCTTGACTTAATCCTTGTACCTTATACCTTGTGGTGGCTCAGCTTTGAGGAGACAGGAGATGAGATACTAGCTGCAGAAATTCCTGGCTCTGACCTGACCTGACTTTAATCAGACTTCTAATCAAAATTTGTAGTTGAGAAATGCAAAGCTATCCAACCCACAAGCATCACTGGATGAAAAGAAATACTGTATGTTTTATGTGCAGATGCCCAGGATAACTGACCAAATTTAACCTGCCCGTATTTGTAAAGGCTGAAAGGATTTTATGGATGAAAAGAAACCTCCTAATTGCTGTAGATTCATTTTATCTTTGCCGATCCTGTCTGTTGAGATTCTGGATTGTTTAACAAACGAGGTAAAACTCATGAAATTTGTTGCAAACAAATAAACAGCTATATCAAAGCTATCTTATAATTTGATGCCCAGTTATAACTTTGAATAGGATTTTTTACAAATGAAGATGCTCAGCAGCATTATCTGTCAACGTGAAGGAAAGGGATTGTTAATGACTGAACATGTTTCAATTCAGCTGGGCCAAAGTGGGTATGAAAACTGTGAGAGAATGATGCACACTGATGTGGATGCATGACTTTGTAATTTCCCTTCCTTGACATGCAAAGAAACTGGATGTTTTTTCGACAGGCTCCACCATATAAATTCTTTCTTTAATTCTCTAAACAACAGTTTGAACAATGACAGTAATTTAAGGTTCTTGGATTGTTTAATTTTCCTGTGATTATAAAATGTTTGTGCAACCCAGAAGGAAAGCTGATATGATATTCTGTCATAAACATCCTCGAAGTCTTCTGTCACATTCATGAGGAATACAGGAAATTTCAACAGAAAGACACTGTCAGGGGAATCTCTGTTATTGTAGCTTATATGAAGAATTGTACACTTCATTAAACAATTTTTTCTTAAGGTGAAATTTGATCTTGTCGATGAAACATCTGGTTCACTTTGAAAAGAAAGCTGTAAAAGTTGTTGCTAAATACAGTTCAGTGCTTAAGTCAGGTAACTTGGGAAGCAAACAAAGGACGATCAGCAGCAGGCTGAAAGTTTACTGACTGTGTGTATGATTTCGTGTAACATATTTATGAATGATGGGTGCCTTGTTAATGGGCATCTGCCATATTTTGGTGCTGTTTAATTGCCTAAGTTGAGCTGTGACTGTTGTCTCAATGGACTGAACTTTATGCTCTCCCGTCAGTGTGTTTCTATGCAGGCTGTGAAAATCCCATGGCTGGCCTTCCCCCACGCTCTCTTCTACGCTGACCTGTCTGCAGTTTTACAGTGGGGTGGGTGAGACTGAGGCTGGACAGTGCTTCGGCCAGGTGAGACCCTTAAGTGGGCAATTAATTACCTGAAAGCCGGTTTTCCCCATTGTCTCAATTTTCAGGCTGGTGGGAGGTGTTCAGGTACACATGACACCCCCCTCTCCAACTTGTGCACCACCCACCTACACGGTTTGCCTCCCCTAGATAGGTCTGTTCCCTACTTCCCCATTTCTTCTTCAGGGCCCCCAGTTCCCAACACCACCCCCACACCTCCTCCCCCTCCCCGGCCTCAATGTCCTTCATCTGCGCAACACCTCCTATACTTATCTGGCTCTGGATTCTCGGACATAGAATCTCGGGGCTTCTTGCAGAACCAGCCCACTGTGCTGTCTCATTGTTGGTACAATAGAAATTGAATCATCCAGTTTCTGGCCTATCATCGATTAAATCTCATATCCTAACAGTAGAGTGACCTATCAGGGGTCAGTGGTTACATTTCACAGGCTGATTGATGTTAGTCAAGGCGTACTTACCGATAAGACCGTCATTGTGTTGGCTTTATCCTCCTCTGAGGCCACTGTGTCCATTGCCTTATACATCCTGGCGAAGTAATTACAATAAGCGGCTCTCACCTTTGGACACAATGCAGTGGGATGTTAGTGATCCAGTGCTATCTAACTAAATGCAATCAACTTGAATTTTAGTGAATTTCTGACCTTCGCATATCTGCAGTACACATCAGAATTTCAACTGCCTTAAACGTATTGAGCAACCACCTTGGTCTTGTAGTGCCCTCTCTCTGTTTCTTACCTTTATTGGCAGACTGTGACCCTGTCCGCATTGGAAGGCTTTCCATTGACCGTGCAGCATTGAGAAATGGGCTCTGTCCTCAATTCATAAAATCATAGAATCCCTCAGTGCAGAAGAAGGCCATTCGGCCCATGGAGTCTATACCAATCCTCCAAAGAGCATTCCATCTACTATCTCCGTAACCCTGTGGCTGATCCATCTGGGTGGTGGATTCAACTAATTGGCAGGTGAGCAAACCTTCTGGTAATTAATTGACCAATTTTACAAAAGTGGTGTTGGGTGTCTATTCCTGACAGGGTATGGAATGTAGAACCTTGTTTGAACCGAGTGTCAGGATCCTGAGGCCAAAAGGAACAAAGCAGCTTATGCAGAGACAGTAAGATCATTCGTAATTCTGAGTCCCATTCTAATACTGTGGGGAATTGGTTCAAATCCCATTGTGGTAACTGGTTGAATTTGAATTCAATGAATAAATAAGGAATTGAAAGCTAGCCTCAGTAACATGATTACCTCGTCATTGGGTTTACTAACACCCTTTAGAAAAGGAAATCTGTCATCCTACCCTCTCCGGCCTGCATGTGGCTCCAGAACCAAAAAATGTGGTCAACTTCTAACTGCCCCCTGCAATGGGTACACAACTGAAGGACAATTAGATACGGGCAACAAACACTGTACTTGACAGCAATTCTGCCATTGGATAAATAAACTTCTAAAAATTGCAAATAAATTACATAAAATGTTTTTGCCTAAAGTTGTGGAAATCACAGTAAAAACATACATCTTTCTTCATATAATGCAGGTCAAATTCGTATGAACAATATTTACTTCAGTGAACTACACTTGCTGTGCTTTTACGGGGCTCCTCTGTGAAATACTGGAGGTTTCCAAAACAAATGTTAACATCTGCATGAAATGTAGAAATACTTGTATTGTTATAGTACCTTTCATGATTTCAGGAGCATCCAATGTGCTTGTGTTATGGTGTAATTATGATGTCTGGTCACTGTTGGAATTCAGGAAATATGGTGTGCGCATAGCAAGCGCCCACAAACTGTAATATGATTCTGTCCAGGTGATCTGTTCTTATCATGTTGGTTTAGAGATAAAGATTGGCCAGCTCTTCTTTGCTTGAGAAACATGGGATCTTTTATGTCCACCACAGGAGACCAAGGGAGTCTCTGTTTTAACACCTCATCGGAAAAAAGGATCAGATCAAAACTTTCATAAGAGGTTACCTGATTGGCTTAAGACAGTCACTCTGTGACCACAGCACTGTTTACCTTGGGATTTAATATGCAGAGGAGAATGAAGATGAATGTGCCTTGGAAACTGTTAATGATGGTGAATAAATAGGTCATTACACCGGGCTCTTCCTGTAACTGAAACAAACCAAAAATCCAAGTGCAGCCCAGGATAAACACCTGAGCAATGGCTTTAAAGGTCAGCATCCTGCACGAGAGACAGAAAAAGATCAGTGAGAATGGAAGTAGCCATGGCACCAAAAGATCAGATCAAAGCTCTGCAGCTCTGCAGTTATGAATGTTTGTGGATGTGGAAGCAAATCATGGGATAAGGAAGCTCCAAGAGCATCCCCTCTCTAATGCATGTGTATTTGGTAATAACCAGCAGTACATCAGTTACAGAAAATAATGAATGAGATATTGTATGTTGTGATAACTTTGTTTTACAGTAGTCACATGAAAAGATTTCAAGCAGAATTAAAAATTTTTAATGTTCAATAATTGTTTTAATATTGTACATGTGGTGCATTGATGTCAGAAAACAATTCCTTGAAATAATGCTGACTTTTAAGAATGTATCCAATGAAACCTTTATGGAATGAGGCCATTTAAATATTTTAGTCTGTGTTGGTTCTTTGAACTGGCAATCCATTTTGTCCTATGCCTCTAATCGTTCCCCGTAACAGTGCACTATATCAGAGTGAGGTGGATGCTGGGACTCTGAATACACTTAAGGAGGAGATAGACAGATTTTTAATTGTTCAACATTGGAGAAGTTTTGAAGGGCTGAATTGCCCTTTCCTGCTCCTAGTTCTTACATTCTATGTAATTTACCCATCTTTACATGTTCCTGTAAATTTCAACAATATTTGCGTAAAGTTCGAGATAATAGTACCTTACCTTGTATCCTGAAGTTTAGACACTTGAGTGTCCCGCTTGGAAATCTCTCTTTTCAATGTCAAGAGTATTGTGAAGTACAGAGCCGTGTTGATCTGTTGGAAGATTTCAAAATATGTTGAATGAATGTAAACAAATTGTTGTTGGAAAATATCTGGAACTAGGTCTTTTTAATTCTTAAATTTGTGTGATTTGCCAAGTGATGTTCACAGCTGGAATGGTGAAATTTCACACTGTTCTCCCTGCTAACATTTTTTTACGAGGATTTTCCCTGCCTGCTCTGAAGTAACTGATTCTGGGGAGACAGACAATGGAGAAGGGAAGTAAAGGTTCTGGGAGTGAGTGGCTATGGATGGAGTGGTCATGTGGTGAAGACATTTTGACAGAGAGGCTTTGGGGAAGAGACGATATGGAGCCTTGAGGACATGGAAGATACACTGTGCAAATCAGACTGCAGGAGAGAGTGTAGTATACTGAAAATTACATTGTGCATTTAACCACCTCGGGCTACCGTACAGATGTGTTACATCAGAGCGAGTCTGCATGGAATAGTAAGAAAGGATCCATCTTCAATAGCTTCTGCAGTTCTAATTCTAAACGTCTTTGGCTGAATGTAGAGCTGTTTCTGTCCCAGAAACATTACAGAGGGAGTGGGAGGGGAGTGATTGGAATGATGTCAGCCAAGTGGATCTCGTAGAATATGAGTTCCCTGATTGGGCTGTTAACCTGGTCCAATCAGGGAGTTCTAGCTGACAGATACAAACGGGAGTGCCAGGGGTTCTGCTCACACTAGGATCTGGCTCTGTGCTAGCTGGGGCAATGTAATGTACTATGTACGTGTAAATAAAGGATGATTTGGTGATGGGATACCGACAGTTTGTGGAGCAATTTCAGGGAGAGAGAGAGTATTAGTAAGAGACAAAGTGCAAAAACAGTCTGTTATGGGAAGCTATGGGATATAAATAAGTGACAAATTGATAATTACTGCTCGTGATGGTTTGATTTGATTTGATTTATTACTGTCACATGTCCCAAGATACAGTGAAAAGTATTGTTTAGTGTGCTGTCCAGACAAATCATATCTTATGTAAGTATATCAGGGTAATATAACAGAATACAGAATAGAGTATTAGAGCTACAGAGAAGGCTACGAGAGAAGGATAAATTCTAATATTTGAGAGGTCGGTTTGTAATTCTGATCACAGTGGGGAAGAAGCTGATCTTGAATCTGTTACTGAGGTTAAGTAAATTAAAAAGTGGTTTACTGCACAGTTTAAACAGAATCAGTTGATGCAATCAGATAGAAATAAAACATGAGAGATTTGATATGATTAGTTTGAAAGTTACCAGAATGATCAGACACACAGGTCCCAGGAAACTCCAGATGAATCCTTTGTCTGTGGAGATCCAGCAGCTGGAAGTTAAGAGAAGAAAGTAAATCATTCGGAACAGTGAGTATCAACAAGAGAATAGCTCCCATGAAGCATGAGCTATTTAGAGTGCAAAAAATATTTTTATAACCCATGTACTGATTGGATGATAATGTTCTTTGTGTTTGTTGGTAAAAATATTTCAGAATTTATTCATTCCTCAAGAAATGTGGTGATTAACAGGCGATGGGTCCTGAATTCTACCTGGGGACACCCTTCCCCTGACTCTTCCTTACTGTTTGTGTTGGGCTGTATGAGGCTTTTGAAATATTCATATGTCTTTCTGATGAGATGTTGACTGTACTCTCCATGTATGCTACTGCAAAAGATTCCACACACTGTTTTGATGAAGAGCAGAAATATTTTTTCCAGTGCTCCTCAATCAAAATGAAAATATTCATTCACAGATTGTGGGCATCCCTGGCTAGGCCAACATTTACTGCCAATCCCTACTTATCCAGAGGACAGCTAAATGCCAACCACTTTGCCGTGGGTCTTGATTCACATGTAGGCAAGACCAGTTAAGGATGGCAGTTTCACCCCTATAGGGCTTCAGTAAATCAGATAGGATTGTCTCTCTCTCTCTGTCTCTCCATCTGCTATAAAACCAAGGCTGGAAGGATGCACTGTTGTTCTCACCTCACTGCTCGATGGCTCACAATATTGAATGAAAATGGCCAGCTAAATATCTTGTCCATATCGGGTTTTAAATAACAAAGTCTCTCAACCAGGTTTCTTTATAAACATCATTGTTGGTTTACTATCAAATTTGTCAAAATATTACAAATGGATTCAATGAAGATGCAGTGAGTAGTGAACATATGCAGCTGGTAGTATAGATGTATAATGTTTATGTGTATCAATAGTCCCAAAACACACATATTCCTGAAAAGAACAAAAAAAACCCGAGATTTCTCTGCAGCAATTGGCTTTCTGAAAAGAAAAAACATTTGGCAGATGGTTTATTTATTTAAAAAAATGGGCAGTGTAAGATGTCCCGATGTTTGTCGCTCCGATGTTGTGGCATGTGTGGTCAGGTTATCAATCACAGATAATTGTTTCTGGAGTTGCTCAGATGTAGCTTGCCTAAGAAACACAATCTTGAGAATTTGTTTTCCAGTCATTCTTTCAGGAGAACAAATTAGTTTCACCTTGAACTCAACAACAGAGTTCTTTCAGAAATAGGAAAGATCGGCTGGGGTAGTCTTCCCTCGCAGATTCCTGCCTCTGACTACTTACAGATTCCAAAGCCCTCTAACCAAAAGCTGTCACTGTTTAACCAGCCCGAGCACACAGGGGCTCCATCAGAACACACTTCTATCACCAGTCATGTGACTCCTCGGAAACCTTGAAATCTCTAATGAACACATTGACCTTCAACAACACCATTTAAAGAAACTACATTGGGTATTTCCATAAAACTTGAATAAATACATTTTTCCACAATCCTTCCAATTTAATTTCTCTTTGAATTATTAAATATGACATGTCTTTGTGACAATATGACTTATGAATGAGTTAAAAGCAAGCATTGAGACTGCTCCATCATTCAACAAGATCATGGTTGATCTGATTGTGACCTCGATTCCACATTCTCACTTGACCCTTCCAGTCATCTTTGAATCCCTTGTGTGTCAAGAATCCATTTACCCCTGCATTGAAAATATTCAATGACCCTGTCTCCACTCCTGTCTGGGGAAGAGAGAACCAAAGACTCACAATCCTCTGAGAGAAGATGTTTGTCCTCATTGCTGCCTTAATTCAGAGGCCTCCTATTTTATAAACTGGACACCCCCCACCTAATTTTGGTCTCCCACTAAAGGCAAACATCTTATCAGCATCCATTCTGTCAAGTCCCTCCACGATCTTAGACTGCTAAACCCAAATGGATATACTCCCAGCCTTCATAACCGCTTCATACAACATAAAACCCCCGACAGCGGGGTTCCATTCCTTGATGTGACTGAATCAAAATGATGCCGCACACAGACTCAGGGCCATGTGTGAGCTATGATGCTTGTTGGCTGCTGTTCCCTGACCAGGTCTTTTTCAATATGCTGTCTTCTGTTTATTTCCATGTTGCATAGTGTGTACTGCTCTTGTATTGACTTAATGCCGGCCGGCCAGCCACCCTTTGGGGACAGTCACATTTTGTATAAAATTGGGTCACTCACTTCTCGTCAATAGCATGCCTGCCTATTTAGCCATTTCCCCACCACAAGGACATGGACTTCATCCCTTTTTCACTTGCCCCACATCTGCTGCCAACACTCTGGGTTTCTATTCTCTTTTTATAGGCCAAAGACCTTTCCATCCTTCGTTCATGACTGAGGTTAACAAGTGTCAAAATTCCTTTTGATAAAAAATGAATTATACAACTGCAAATGTTGATGGTCTGAAGTGCACTTTCTGAAAGGATGGCATGAGCAGATTGAATGGTAAGTTTCAAAAGGAAATCAATGTACATACTTGAAAAGGAAAGAAACTTCACAGCGTTTTGGTGCTGAGGGGTGGGACTAATTGAACAGCCCTTTGAAAGATGGGATGAATGGTCCCCTTCAGTACTCTATCATTCTATGAAATGCATCCTTTCCTTCCTGTACACAAAGTTGAACAGTGACATTGGGAAGTGGTGTGGAGCACAGTAACAGAATCCAATGCTGGCAAGTGTTGTTGACGGAGGGAGGAACTGCAATTACTGACCTAGAGTTAGGATAAATCAGTCAGTAGCCTATTCCTGATATTGCCAGCTGGGAAATGGGGAGAGAGAGAGACACAGAACTGAGGGAATAGATAAAGAGGAAAATGAATGAGAGGAGAGTGAGAGGAGAACATGAGTAAAGATGAGAGGAAGGGGTGTAAGTCACGGGAAGAAAGCTGAACATTGGAGGAAAAATATAATGAGACCATGTCTTCTGGTTCCCATCGCGTAGAAATAGTCATACTTTCAAATCAAAAATGCTGGAGTTTCATTGAGTGTATTTCTCACCATTTTCCCTTTGGCTGGCGGACTGACAGATTGATACTTTGTTACTCAGTGCATGACCACAGTGAATCAGTGAATGTGGCACCTCAGGATATGTATTCACATATCATTCAGTCACAGATCAGTCCCAAGCTCTTTACGAATAATATAACCACTAACTTGCACACAAGGCACATTGAATGTCTCAAAGCTCGTTGTCGGTAATGAAATATTTTTGGTGTGTCGTCACTGTTGTAAAGTAGAAAATACGTCATCTAATGTGCAAAGTGCCACAAACAGCATTGTACTACTGACCGGGGTAATCTCTTTCTTGTGATGTTGATTGAGGGATAAATACCAATCAAGATACTGCTGTTCTTTCCCATAGGATCGTCTATATCCACCTAAGCAGTTAAATGGGGCTTTGGTTTCATGTCTCATCTGAAGAATGGCATCTCTGCAGTGCAGCTGTCCCTCAGTGCTGCATTGAAACGCTAGATTTTTGTGTTGAAACTGTGGAATGGGTCTTGAATGCAAAATCTTACTCCTCAGATATGACAGCGTTGCCATCTGAGCCTCAGGGGCCATGTGAAGTGAATGAGAAGAGAAAACAGAGATGAAAGGAAGAGAGATGAGAACAGGTGAGGAGAGCAAAAAGTGAAGGTGAAGACAGGAGGCTGTGGTGGAGAGAAGAAGGAAAGGAATGGAGAAGAGTCAAGGGCAGGAATTAAACAGGATAAATCATGGACATTAGGCTATTTCTATTGACAAAAACAGGTCTGCAGCAAATAGAAAGAAGGTTAAATCCTGACAACGGCTGTAACTGGATGGTGATAATTTTATTTGTAAGATTTGAAAAGGAGAAACCATTACTTACTGCCTGGGTGAGCCATAACCATCGTGATACACTGCAGCAGAAATGAACACAATTATTGCAGGGACCCCATAGCCAAGAAGGTACATGAGTTTCTCAACTTTTCCTGAATGGGGAACTCTTAAATTCCTGATGTTTCTGACCATGAGAAAGAGGTGGATTCCCTGCAGAAACATCCAAACAAACGCAGCCAGGAACAAGTAGTGTAAAAATCCTGCTATAATCCCACACATCACCTGTAAGAATGAGAAACAGCATGAGACCCTTTCTTAAAGGAGCGATTCCTCACAATTCCACCTGACACACTCCTGGGTCTAACACCAAAACCATGTCCTTGCTGATGTTTTATGCTGATCAGCAGAAGGGTGCACCATTTGGATTGAGCCAATGGCCATCTGTACCATTACAGAAGCATCCCTACCTGCCATCTGTACACTTCACCTCTTTCAGTCTTCTCATGACGAACCTCTTCTGACTGAAAGCCAGATGAAACTTTCGTTTCTGCACCTGCATTTCTCTTGAGGTCCATTTCTGTTAATCTAAAATTCAATTAACTTGTGCCACTTGGTTTGCTGGCCTCCTGTCCTATGCTGGATTCCTTCAGAGGTAGCGAAGGTAGGACTCAACCCATAGATTGTCTCCAGCCTCTGTCTGGGGGGGAGTCCACCTGTAGAATATGTCCAGTCCCTCTCTGCCCCCTTGGATTGCACTGTAAGAACTTTGTGGTGGTGTTGTTTAATACAATTCAGAAAATAGGGAAGGTGGTGGGGAGGATCCCAACCTAATTGTGACCTTGGCTGATCCCAGTGGGATCCAATACATTCTCCCTGCAGTTATAGTGGAAATCTGGGAGAGTTAACAAGGCAATCTCAGGCTCTTGCATTTTAACTTCTAATGGTACAGCTTTTGAATGAAAGCTGAAGGGCCAGTATTGGAAGCAACTGGTGAAACGGGTAATATAAGCTGTAACTCCGTGAAAATTAACAGCTGGACCACATTGAGACCTTGATAACAATCAGTCAAGGAGACCTGTCTGATCACCCTCAGGCTGACTGTGAGTGGAAGGATGAGTGCATTGAGGAACTGTGGACCAGCAAAAACACATTAATACAAGAGAAAAAAGTACTGAATCTGAAAAAAACATGTTGTGTCATTTACAGATGTTCATACAGGAGAAAGCAATTTGCTTGATTGGTGGTGTGTCCATGACCTGAAATATTCACTTCCTCTGCCACCAGTGCACATTTGCAGTAGCGTATACCACCCAGTAGATGCACTGCAACAACTTGTCATAGTTGCTTAGGCAGCACCTTGCAAACTCCCAACCTCTTTCTCTGGAAGAATAAGGGCAGCAGGAGCGTGGAATCATCACCATCTCCAAGTTTGTTCCTGAGTTACAAAACATCCTGAATTGGACATGTATCATGGATCCTTCATTGTCAATGGGTCAAAATCCGAGAAAACCATCCCATACAATACTTGGGGAATCTGCATAACATGGGCTGCAATTGTTCAAGAGGGTGGCTTCGCGCGACTTTCTCAAGGAAAATTAGGACAACAATAAATGCTGGTGAATTGCCAGATCCCGAAAATGAATTTTGAAATACTGACGCATGCATACACAGCTAAACCCAAAGAAAATTGACAGGCAGACAGTTGGACAGAGAGATAGCCCATATATACACACAGGTAGATATTAGATTCACATCCTCACAGCCACAAACAAAGAAATCTCAGAAACAATTTGACACTTGGTAAAACATTCACATCCACACATTTACACACATACAGGGAGAAAAAAACTAGCATTTATGACGTGCCTTGAACACAGTAAATCTATCCCAAGTTATTTCACAGAATATTCTCAGACATAAAGCTTAGCTTGACACCAAACGAAAGGAGAAAACATTAGGACGGCTGCTGAAAAGCTTGGTCAAAGAGTTCAGTTTTAAGAGTTTCTTTAGGAAAATTCGTGGGGAAGAAGACAGGTTCAGTGAGGGAATTCCAGATTTCTAACAATTGAAGGTACAGTCACTAATCATGGGAGAAGGAACTGAGGTTTTCATAAGCGACAAAGCTTGATACACAAGGATCAAATATACACTGAAATGAGCATAAAACATTGTGTACTCATGTCCACATATGAAACCCATTCAGTTGGACTTAACAGATATGTACACACATGCTCAAGTACACTCACATACTTGCATTCAAACCCACACATGCTCAGACACACTTTCTGTTCTCCATGCACACATTTACTCTGTCACAAACACAGACCTTACTCTCTCTCTCACATGCACATTTTCTCACACATACACGCAACTCTGTCATATGGACACTCATGTACTCTCACTGTCACACAGACACTCTCTTACACATGCACACTCAGACACGATAACTCTCTCTCACACACTCACTCACACAACCTCTTACATTGCTGGCTGTGGTGGGTTCCCTTACTTGGTTTCTGGTTCTGTTG